CCCCCTCCCCCACCTCACTAGCATGCCTAAAATCACGGTAACACAATTTATAAATGCTAGAATTTAAATCCTACCTCTGTGCAGAGAGGGTAGTTTTCCGCATTGTGCTACACTTTCTCTCTTGATAAATCACACCTAGAAAGAGTAGCGCAATAACAAAACGGCTTAGAAAGCAATTCTATCAGAATAATAAAAGCTGAGGCAATGGTATCATCTAGTTAATAGTTTGAGAGACTTCAAGGCAGGTGGAAACGGAGAACCGTTTATCAGGGCCTCTGCAGGCCCTTTGCATACAAAACTGAAGGCTATTTATTTCTTTAAGATAAAATCTTAGGTTTCATTTGTATGTCTTTTGCATATTTAATATTGCTTAAATTCACATTTCAGAAAGAAGCTTCTTTTGTAAAACTAGTAACTTTCTTAGTTGAAATTTCATGCCAATTTTCAAATTTATCTTTCAACTGGGAGTGAATTTCCTATTATGTCTTGTGAGATTGAATTCTTTACTCTCAGATAAAACTGGAATATACAGTTCAGAAAAAAAGTGACAGGATTTTAAGAGATGAAGCATATATAACATTTAGACTGCTCACTTCTGTCATTCTTTTATCAGTGTCTGCAGGTCATAACAGACTGAAATGCTTAACTTTAAGATATGGAATGGAATACTCTGATCAATGGATGGTGCCCTGCATTTCCTAGAACCAAACAATAAGACTATGTACTTTGTTATGGAAAGCATTTTTGAGTTAAGGAAAGTATGCATATTTTTTCACAATAAGAATTCTGTATTTCTAAAATGATTCTTCATGGAATAATTCAATTTTTTTAGAGATCACATTTTCTTTTCTTTGATTATCTTAGGTATGATCAATTATTGAAACTGGCAGTTCCATAGTGAGAGCTTTTTAAGGTTAAATCTCAAAAGAATTAGAAATATCCATGCACAATTCTGGGTGCTAAGAAATGAGGGGTGGGGATCAAACTTGTTGAAAGCATTGCGCATAGAATACCCAGAGATGAGAGCAGGGCTTTGTAGGAATTATCAAGACTTTATCCAAGAAAGTACTCCTAGACTGTTTTAGACTGATGATGCGTTTAAATATAGAATTAATTGCTCTTAAAGGCATAGACAGCATAATTGACTATTTGCAGCACACATAAACATAAAAATCTAAACATAAAAATACCTGTGCAATCACCAATTGAGTACTTTGTGTTTAGAACTATTTTTGACAGACTTCTGACCCCTATTTGTGCCAATATTATCTTAACAACCTCAAAAGAAAAAAAATATATAGCACATATCAAAATAAATAGCATAGATAGTTATGTATCAATGTTTGTGTGTTTTATTATTAAAGAAAGAAAAGCATTGGGGAGATAGTTTTATGTTATCTGTTGATGTGAAAACAACTGTAGACTTTATTACATACACTGACTTTTGTTCTACAGACTTTATGGCTCCCACTCACCTGGAAAAAGGGTAAAAGCACAACATACTTCCATTCAGAATGAACAAATGGGATATAAACTGCAGTCAGTGATCAATAACAGTGCTGAAATCCATCCAGGTAAAATGTCTAACCCTTGGACTTAAACCCAGTATTCATCCCTGTGAAATGGTGCTTTAGTGGAAAAAAATTATATAAATTGATTTGTTTTCATTCGTTTGGTGTTTTAAAAGATAATAGCCACCTACGTGGCCTGGAGAGATGACTCAGCAGTTCAGAACACTGGCCGTTCTTGCAGAGATCTTGGGTCCGGTTCCTAGGTGCTAACAACCATCCAGTTCCAGGGGACTCCGATGTCCTCTTCTGGCCTCTGTGGCCACTGCACACATGGGTAAGCAAAACACTCATTAACATAAAATAAATAAAAATAAATGTTTTTAAAAGATAATAGCAACCAGAAGTTAAAATATGTTAATGTTATATATGTTAATATAATGCTCATCTCTGTTATAGACTAATCATTAATCATAGTATTTACCAATTATGGATTATTGAACATACAATAGCACATCAGAAAAATAATCTATCAAGAACTAACAGTGGAAGCAGCAGAAGAATGAGGAATCATTTCCACTTGTAATGTGTGAGGAATGCCACATGTTGACCAAGACAACTTTTAAAATGATCTATTGATCTCATTATAAGAAACATTTTGATTTTTCAAAAAAATCAATTGAAAGTCTCTCTGTAATTAAGGATTCATATTTCAAATCATTGATCTGTACAAATTATCATCATTGTGGATAGCAGCTTAGCTAAACTTAATTTGTATGCCTTGTTAAAACTTAATATCCTAGGACTGGAGAGATGGCTCACTGGTTAAGAACACTGGTTGTTCTTGCAGAAGACCCAGGTTTGAATCCCTGCACCCACATGGCAGCTAATGACTGTCCATAACTTCAGTTCCAGGGGATCCGACAGCCTCTTCTGTCCTCTGCAGGCATTGCACGACACAGGTGCACTTACCTACATGCAGGCAATACACACATACATATAAAATAAAAATAATCAATAAAATATTTTTTAAAAAACTTAACTTAAAAGATATAAATGATAATACTTCTGATTTTTGGAAATTTTAAGATATAATATGAAATTTATGATATAGGCATTATTTCATCTTTAAATATTTTGTATCTTATAGTACACATAAGTTGTATATACCTAGAATATCAGTCTATTAGTAAGTTACTCAAAGTAATCATAAATTCCAAAATTCAATATCATTTAAAAGAAGCAAGATATGCTGTGAAGAGCTAATATAAAATAAACCATATCTCTTTAAATCAATTTTTATAAGCAACAGACATAATTGACTGAGATTAAGTACTGGGAAGCATTTAACAAAATGTAATGCAATTTAACTTTATAAGAAATGACAGAGACTCTGGGAATTTCATTGATTTCAAATGCTTGAAAAGTTTAATTAAGGAGGTATTTGCACTAGATGGATTCTAAAATGTCTATTTGCCAACTTAAGGAATAAAAATTATGAAGTATTGCCTATTGATAAATTCCTGGAATAGGTTAATTGAATCTCTTTACCACTAAAACATGTGAAATGATGAAAAGTGTTCAGTAATTTACATTTTCAAATATCTCTTTTATTATTTATAAAAATGCATTGCTTACTCCAATTCACAATAGAGGATTATAGGATAGAAAACATGTATGTGCTTGCTTAATAGCTACTGAAATTTGCTAGGCAGGAGTTACTAGGAAGAAAAGTCTGATTGAAGAGGAACACTTCAGATGGAGTGATCAGGGAAAGCTTCTCTGAAATGATATTCCAACAGAGATCTACATGAAATTAGAGAAAACCATGAAGATGCCTAGAGAAGAATACCTTAAAAGAATATGTTCAAATACATTGCGAAAATCACAAGGCTGATTCTCCATGAACAATAGAGGCCAGTTATTGGGGCATACCTTAAAAGCCCTTCCAAGCCACAGTTTAAGGATTTCCTTACTGTCTATATATAAAACTGGGTAGAAGACTGCATGGTATCTTCACTGTTTTATCATATTTCTAAACAGATATTCAAACTATAATATATTAAACCTAAATACAGACAAGTTTTCCTAACATCTTTGGAAATGCTGTTATTCTCTACTTCTGCAGAGTGAGAGAGATCTTCATAATCATTTGAACTGTTGTCAGTTTCCTTCAGAGTGTTGGGCTACAGACCTGTCTAAGGATCAAGTAACACTACAGCTATTTCATAATTTTCAATTCATATCTACTTCTATTTATATATATCTGTTGAAAGTTTATTATTTCAAATCTACTTGGATTATAACCTTTGAAAATATACATGTGTAAAACATTAATATTCATTATGTATAATTAATATAGATATACAGCATGTACTTGAAGTTCATTTAAATAGTGTGAAAGTGAATAATAATTAATAGAAGTTTGAAAATATAAATACAATTTCCAAATAGTATGGGAAAATTATACATTGACTTTAGAATCATTTTATTAAATTTATTTGCGGTGTATTTGTGTTTGTGTGTTTGTATGAGAGTACATGTGCCACAGCCTGTGAGTAGAGATCAAAGAATAATTTGAAAGAGTTTTCTTCTTCTACTACGTGGGTCCTGGAGATTGAACTCAGTCTTCAGACTTGACAGAAAGTGACTTTCTCTGCTGAGCCACCTTTTGTATCCAGACTATGCTAATCTTTAACTCAAAAGTCCTTACCGTCCAGTGATATGCTTATTATCTTCAGCTCTTCCCAGTATTCATACATTACAGCTGACTTTTCTTATCTAAATATTATGGTATATGATATAACAAAAACTCATTTAAAAGAATACTTGCATGAAGTAAACTTGCAAAATAGATTGTTATTGAATCTTGAAATTAAGAAGTAAATGTATATAAATTGAGATTTTAAAGTGTCATAAAGTCATGACATGATACTATCTCCTTGCTCTCAGATTATGGAGATTTGACCATACCTAATGTTTCTACCCCAAATTCTCAGACATATTTCTGAAAATTTAGATGTCATAATTTCATGCACTTGTTAGTCTATCCAATTAGCAATGAACCAGCCAATGAACAAGAAAAACACTTGTAATGGAGCCATAAGGAGGCACCTATGTATTTTTTATAGACAAAAGAGAATGGACATCACCAACTACAATGTACTGGCTCATTCACAAGCATTTGTTCCTTTATATAAATGCATAACTTTAATCCTCATAGCATATCTTTGAAGGTACAACTTAGACATGTAACACACACATACACACACACACACACACACAAAATAAAACCACTAAGGCCCATTGAAGAAAGAAAATGAGGGAACAGTGTGATAACACATGAGCACAGATTGGATTGTTGAATGCAGTACGGAGAATGTTCTCCATATTTAATCACCAACTGATTGAAAATGACATCCTACAGGAAAAAGGGGTGACAGGATATCAGTGGTTGGTGCTCTTTGGAGTTAGGAGACTGTAGAGGAGGAATCCTGTAGAGGGCAGGACTGAGACATGCTCAAACCAGGTTATGGGCAAAGAGAAAATCTCAGGATCTCCATGACATCTGTGAGTGTAACATAAATATAGAGGCAAAGGTGGAGGAGAATAGAGTGGGAGGTGCTGATTTCCTTGGTCTTTGGTCCAGAATGGCTGAGAGAGAGTGATGACTACACACCATGAAGAAATTGTCCATCTTGATTGCCAAGGCACCTCTGGCTGCTCAGTACTCAATCCAGATACAGTAATGGTTTGGAACAATACATTAGATTATTCTGCTTTCCTTTGATAGGCATCTATGTTTATAGAAATTGTATATTTTTTAGTAATTCTAAATTAATGAAGAATATGTATTAACTTTTTCTTATATTTAATAGAAGCTTTAGGAATTTAAAATACTAAAATAAAAAATTTTGTTTACAAACTAGAGAAATTGTAGAAACAATATAAAAATTCAGAAACTAATGATTGTGGGATCAGATTGAAATTGAATGATTCTTATATACAATGTTCTGATGATGTAATCACTTTCCAGAAGGCCCTACTTCTTATTGCCAGTACCATGGGGACAAAGACCTAACATAAACATGAGTGGTTCCAAACACTGGAACTGTGGGATGAATTCTCCCTAATTTTTTACATGTTAAGTATATTTGATAAACTGCCCTGTTAATAATAGTAATTCCCATATGAGACAGACTTCAGTGAGCTAGCTTACTCTCCTCATCTTCCATCAGGCAAACAGTGTCTGTCCTATCCAGAGGACAGCACCAAAGACCCCATCCTTCAAGCAGAGCCTCAGCCTCTATCAAGCTCTAAATCTATTAAAAACATAGCAATGGGATCCGCAGTCTCCAAAATTAGAAGCAATATATTTATATTGGTTATGAATTACCTAGTTTAATATAGTCTATTACAGAAATAGGAAGAGACTAAGACAATAGCATAATCAACACCTGTGTCCACACTTTAAACTTGAAAAGTGTAGCATTCTGATGTGCTTATCATCAAGCTATTAGGAGATTTGATAAAATGGAATCAATTTAAATACTTCCTAACATAAACAGTGCTTTGATGTTTTAATATTGTATATATAATGTATTTAATTACATAAAAATTTAATTCAACATTTATATTTATAGAAGTAAAAATATATCCAGTTCACTCATACATTACATGTATGCATGCACACATGTGGGTGTGTGTTTACAGAGAGAGACAGAAACAAAATTTTATGGTTAAGAACTGAGCATGAGATTTCCCAAAAACATTTAAACTTATGTTGAGATTTGGATAGATGAGGTTAACAGATTTGTGGATGTAAAGAAAGCCCTCCCTAATCAAAATCCCATGACATACTTCACATATTAGAAAAAAAACCTCCTTAAATTCATATGGAAGCACAAAAGACCCTGGATAGCCAAAGCAACCCTGAGCACAAAGAGCAATGCTCTACTATAGCTCTCAAAGTATACTACAGAGCTATAGTCATAAAACAGTGCGACATTGCACAAAAATAGACACATAGATCAATGGAACATCATGAAGACCCAAACCTGAGTATATGCAGTTTCAGCCATCTGATATTTGACAAAGGTGCCAAGAACACACAATAGAGATAAGACAGCATCTTCAACAAATGGTGCTGGCAAAACTGGATCTCCACCTGTAGAATGAAACTAGATCCTTATCTTTCACCTTGCACAAAAGTCAAATCTAAATGGATCAAAGACCTCAATGTGAAATGGGAAAACCTGAAGTCATTAGAAGAAAATATTGTCAGTAACCCACAAGATATAGGCGTAGGAAAGGATTTTCTAAATCAGACAGAAGTTGCTCAAGAATCAAGGTCAGCATTCAACAAGTGGGACCTCATTAAACTAAAAAGTTTCTGAAGAGCAAAAGAAATAATTTAAAAAGTGAAGAGAAAACCCACAGATGGGAAAAAATCTTCACCACTGAAACATCTGGCAGAGGTTTAACATCGAGAATATATAAAGAACTCAAAAAACAAAGAATTGAGAAACCAAATGACCCAATTAAAAGATAGGATAAAGATCTAAACAGAGAATTCTCAAAGGAAGAAATAAAGATGGCTAAGAAACATCCTTAAAAGTGTTCAACATCGTTAGTAATTAGGGAAATGCAACTTAAAACCACCTTAGTTCCAGCACTCCAGAGGCAGAGACAGGTGGATCTCTGTAAGTTCAAGGCCAGCCTGGTCTACACAGTGAGTTTCAGGCCAGCTTGGGCTACAGGGAGACCCTGTCCAAAAAAAAGACCCCCCCTAAAAAAAACCAAAACAAAAACAACCTTAAGGTTTTGCCTTACCCCAGTCAGACTTGCTAAGATCAAAGAACAAATGGTACCAAATGCTGGCAAGGATGTGGAGAAAGGGGAACACTTGTTCACTGCTGGTGGGATTGCAAACTCATGCAACCTCTATGGAAAACTGTGGAGAACTCTTAAAAAACTGAAAATGAATCTACCATATGACCCAGTTATACCACTCCTTAGCATATACCCAAAGGACTCCTATTGTAGAGACACTTGTACAAACATGGTTGTTGCTGTTCTTTTCATAATAGCTAAGAGATGGAAGCAACCTAAGTGCCCCTCAACTTACAAGTGATTAATGAAAATGTTTACACAATGGAGTTCTATTCAGCAGCAAAGAAAGATGAAATAATGAAATTTGCAGGTTAAGTGGATGGATCTAGAAGCTGTTACACTAAGTGAAGTAACACAGACTCAGAAAAACAAAAGTCGCATGTTCTCCCTCATTTGTGGATAATAGCACCAAATCAATATAAGAGAGTACATATCTGATGTAACCACTGGAACCAGGAATACGGAAGGGAACCAGGGGGGTAAAGGGAAAGAAAAAACCTGAGACAGAAGAATAGTAGGATAAAGGTGTTATTAAGGGAGAAATATGTAAAAATGGGGAGGGTGGAGGAAGGAGGACTATACAAAGAACTATGGGAATAAAGGGGAAAAATTCTTCAGATACACAGAAAAAAAAGCCTTAAGGACAGAAGGAACCCTATGGGCATGGAAGAGAGGCCTGCCAAAAGCAATACTGTTGTTAAATAAAAGTCCCAGTGCCAGAGGTGGGTTGAGGGACACTAGAGACCCCCAAAACAATAAAGGCCATTGCCAATAATATTGGCTGTACACCAGAAGTGGACATAAAAACCCTATTGTTGAAGACAGTTTGTGATGTGAGTGTGGGAGAGGTTGAAATCAAGCTTGGACTAAACTGTAAACTCCCTGCCCCTGGATGAGTGGCTTTCATGGTGCCAAAAGACAGCACACAGATTAATGGGGAAGAATAGTTCCCTATAATTCTCCTCAACAACAGACTTGGTGTGTTGCACTATCAACATACCAAAAAAGATGTTCCTTCTGGTGCAATACTGGAGCATCTAGTGTATGTACAATCAACAAATTTTTGGTTGGATATAATGCCTGCTCCTGTGGGTGGAACACCCATCTGGTACTGTAGACCTGGCCAACACCCTGTGGCAGGGGAGAATATAGGCCCTGGTGGGAAGTCACTGCAATTGCATTGTTAGATGGAAATGAATCACCTGCTAAAGTACTGACAAAGCATTTGTGTTTATATCCATAGGTTATAGCAATTGCTGTTTAGATATTCTTGCTTCTTGCTGTGTGTGTTTTTATAGATGTAATCCCACTCAAACTGGCCAACAGCCCATAGAAAATTGATGATGCAGAGACTTGAAAATCCAGTTCCTTGCCACAACGGGAGGAAGATCATCCCACACCTACCACACCCTCCAAGGCTCAGGGACTTTTGCAGAAGAGGTTAGTGGAAAGAATGTAAGAGCTGGAAGAAGGAATGAAATGTTAACTGGAAATGTCCTCAGACCACTATGCTGGCAAGCTATAGTCACACCTCCTTCCCACTCTCATCAAGGAGTCGAGAGGGAGTCAGTTACCCCTCCCACCCAATCAGTTGACCTTACCTGCATGTAGGGGGAGGGGCAAAGGATATGTAAGCCAAAAACACCAAGAGGCACTGTGCTGGATAGCTTTAGTGTCAACTTGACACACCTGGGTTGAGGGAGCCTGAGTTGGGGAATTGCCTCTATTGGACTGGCCTGTGGCCATGTCTGAGGGTCATCTTCTTGATGAGTGATGTGGGAGGGCCCAGCCCACTGTGGGTGGTGCCACCC